CCTAGGCAAACCCCTAGTCTGCTCCTCTATGCTCCTTACTCAGGGATACCTCCTTTGGTAAGCCAGGAAATTTTGTCTATTGTTGTTTAAGGATGTTCTTATTCTTGCTTCTGAACTCTGCCTTTGAGAGTCTCAAATGGGTTACTTTCCTTTTTTTCCCTGCTGGCCCATCACCTTCTTTTGATGCTGTGCTCAAAATTATCTCTTTCAGAAAATTGGAAGATGAAAGAGGGGCAGGAAAGCTGAGGGCACTGATCAAAGCCAATGCTTATCTAAAAGCAGTGTGAAGATGCACACATGGGCTTGTCCAACAACTCCTCGACCAATTTCAGGCAGCCAGGGCTCCTTGATGTTTCAAGTGAGTTTTTTGAGGGTCCTGTAGCAAAAATTAATAATGAAAACTTCGATTGCTAGGGCTCTAGGGAGCTGAGCTAATAGGGGGCTTTACAGTATGGGCCAATGAACTGTATAGAATGACTTTTGAAAAATCAACCCCTGAAAAAATCTTATATAAATCCATCATATGATATGATTTCTTCTCATTTTCTTCTCTTAAATGTCAACGACAGTGAAAAATACAGTTAATTTGTGGTTGTGATTTTTTTAGTTGTATTGCTTTCCCCCAGGGAATAGTAAAATGATTTATGAAACTCATTTCTTTATTATGAATGAGATTTAGAGATTAATATAGGTGGCCTTTGAGCTAAAAAAATATAAAACTTAGTCATTATAATTATTTATATTTTGGGATGCCACCCTTGGTCAGTTTTTTTCTATTCATAAAATAAATTCCTTCACATCCCTGTAAAATAGGCTCCATTATACCAATTTATCAGATGGGGCTGGTGGGGTTCAGAAAGATTAAGCTGTTCTTTAAACTCCCTTAGCTGATGTTGTCAGAACGGAGCCTGGAGTGCAGCTGGCATGGTTCAGAGTGGGGGTATCTTACCACTCCAGGCTGCCTTCCTGCTTTAAAAGTGTTTTGAGTAATAATAATCCCATGTAAAGGATCGGGAGAAGCTAGAAATTTCCATCACATCAATTTGACCTAAAAAAAGGATGCAGTACCTCTCCATCTGGAACACTAGCATAGATAGGCCCAGGAATTTTCATCCAGTGAGCCAAAATGTACATCAAAAGTCTTCTATGTGCCAGGTATTGGGATGCAGCAATGAATAAACCAAGGAGAAAACCCTACCCTCAGGGAAATTACATTCTATTGTGGAGAAACAGACAAAAAAGAACACAAATGCATAGTGATAAAAGCTCTAGACAGAAAGCACAGAGGGAGTTAAGGGGAAGCCAGGAGAGAGGGCCTAGGGAAATGAGAAAGGTATTTGGGATATAGTGGAGGTCTTGTTGACTACTGGTGATTTGGTCTTTCCTCTGAGGGAAATGAAAACTATTAGAGGGTCTAAGAAGACAGCCAACATGGTTTCACTGTGCTTTAAACAGGATCAACTGAAGGACTGTGGTGCAATTTTATTGGCAGTCAGCTGAGAGCTCTGAGGACAGGTTCCTCCATTAGGTTCTTGAGGTCACACTTTAGGAGGGCTGGGACAGGCAGCATGATCATCACCCCTGGTCCTGGGATTTGGGCACAGCTGTGCTCTCAATGATAACCTGTACCTTTCCAGCTTTTGATTTTTCTAAAAACTCTGGAAAATGGAACTGGGAATACAAATGATGGTATTTCTATTCATGGTGAGGGTCAGAGAGAACCAGGGAACATTCCTATGGGGCTGAAATTCGATGATGCCAGCAAGAATGAGTGCTGGAGGAACTTGAGGCATCATCTTTATTTCCTCTGGTCTGAGACTCTGAGCTGAACAAAATGCCTGGAAATAAATGTGGAAGTGAAGGATGAGGACATTGTCATGGATTTAATTGTCTCCCCCTTAAGTCCCAACTTAACGTACCTCAGATATTGACATATTATTTGGAAAAATTGTGTTTACTAAGTTAAAATGAGGTACCAATACAACCAGTGTCCATATGTGAAGGAGAAATTTGGATGCAGACCTACACACAGGAAGAACATCATGTGAAATTGGAGCTAAACCAAGAAACTCCTGGAAGCCAGAAGAGAAGCCTGGAGCAGAGGCCTTCAAGCCTTCTGAGGGCAGGCAACCCTGCCAACCAATATGGCCCAGGACTTCCAGCCTCAAATGCTGAAGACACTGACCTCTGTTACTTATGCCACTCCAAATTGTGGTACTTTAGTTACAGCTGAGCTTTGGAACTATACAAAAGGAAGGCAACTTCAAGTGCTGGAGAAGCAGCAAGCTGGCCTACCTTTCATCTATGTAGATGTAAGAGACAAGAAGAAATGGTGGGCTGGTGGGGAGATGGGGGCTAGACTAGCTCAAAATAGAATTGCTTCTGATACTTCTGGGCTCCAAAATGCGAAGCAACAAATTGGCTTTTCTTGGCATTAGAATTAAGGTGTGACTTTTGGGAAAAAAGAGAAAACTCTTTGAGATGCTATTTGGACCATTTTTGGCTTCTCATGAAAATAGAATTAAAATCTTGATCAATCACTGACTAATTTATGCTTGGTAAGATTTGCTTATCAAATCATAAATTGAAGCTGGCTTACATGATCACTTGGGATAGAACTGGCTACCAATTTGGTTGCCAGTTCTTTACAAAATAGCTTAGATTAAACAGGCTCTTCCATGGATTTCAGATGCCCCCAGCAATATGGTGGAAGCATTTTCCCTGTACTGACCAGACACAGAGAATTTGTAACTCTTGCATTTTTTTTTTTTTTTCTAAACTGGTTAAGCTCATGTGGCATCTGCAGATGTAGGTGGGAGAAATGTTGCTCTGTTCTCTTGGCACACTGGTCAGGGGAGCAAACATATACCAGACAAAACAGCAGGAACCAGGTTATTGGCAAGCTCTTCAGTCTACATATAGTTGAACTATGCCTAACCACACACAGGATGTTGTTTAGAAACAGAGATACACTTTATAATTAGAAAGTAAATGGTTGCTTCCTTTTGTTTTCTTTGTCATAGGATCCTTATTCCAACCCTTTGCTAATATGAGTTCTTCAGAAGCCACGCTGGGAGGCATAGTACACAGATAACATGAAAACTTAATACAAGCTGCCATCACTCACCACATTGGAATCTCCAGAACAGGATGCCACTGGCAAGAAGTCCTCATTTCCCTGCCATTACTCATTGGGGGATGAATCTGTGGATGGAAACACAGGCCCTTTCATGAAGCTTTCATTTGTTTTTGTGATCTACCATCACAAAGCTTATCAGCAAGCTTCTTAGGAAACTGAGATATTTGCCTGTATGTGACACCATGGCAAGGTATCAGGAAAGAGAACAGTCCACTGGACATGGACCATCCTAGCTCCATGGCTGGGTTGAGCATCAATGGTATTTATTGTCTTCCTAACACTGCACATTTGGTGGAGAATGGGCGAATCACAAAAACTGGGTTTGCCCTGCAAGTTAAGGCATAACCACAGAAATGGAGGCTGAGCATTTCTGAAGACCCCAGAACAAACCACTGGTGCTCTCCTGGTTTATTTGGGCTTGCCAGGAAACAACACATTATCCTCAGAACAGAAGGGCTTGTACAGAGGCACATAGGCCAGCAGCAAGGCCATCTCCAAGAGTCCAGGCTGGGCCAAACCCAGAACTCTTGGCTCCTTCTGTCTCTGGGTCTTCAATGTTTATAAACAGGTGGAATCAGATTGCAATAAACCAAGTATGGGCACTTCGAGAAGCAAAACTTAAAGCCTCTGTGAAAGGCAGGTAGAGACTTCTGTCACATGGGCTGACTGTGAACCAGAATCTGAGAGTAAGAAAGCCTTTGTTTACAACTGTTCTCCAAGACAAGATCAAAAGCCAGCTAAGGGGAAGAGGTTCCTAGGATGACTTTAGCTTTTCACTTTGTACCTTTCTATACTGTTTAACCATGTGTTTTGATGTTATTTTATAATTAAAATTATGTTCAGGGTTTTTTGTGTGTGTATGTGTTGTGGGTATTGGGGAATTGAACTCAGCGATCTCATACCTTGCTAGGCAAGCTCTCTAACACTGGAGCGACACTTCCAGCCTATAATTATCAATTATTACCGAAGAAAACACCCTAGCTTGTCAATAAGGCTCTGATTTGTTACATACATAACATATAAATGATAGATATAAACAGATAGGTAGGAAGTAAGGCAGATGATTGATAGATGAATGGATAGTCTAATATGATAGTAGATGATTAAATGATAATTATTAGATGAAAGATAGATGACACAGTGTAGCTGAATAGATGAAGGTAATCAGCTAGATGATAGGTGAACGAAGCGCAGATAGATAGATAGATAGACAGATACAAAATAATAGAATGGATAATGTTGGCAGTTGATAGTTAGGTAGATGAAATAGTAACCCTACTCAAAATGTATACTGAAGCCCCTTTTTCTGCATTGTGGAACTTTCTAGAACTCCACTGTTGCATATGTTGAAGGCTCTCTATGGCAAAGCAGGTTAGAGGCAAACTCATTTAGAAAACTGAGTATTTTAAATTCGTAAGTCAGAGGACGCTTCAGAAGAAAAGGCTAGAATGGCTGATGTTTTTTTTTGCAAAAAGATGAGAACTTCCTGACGAGGGTTTTCTCCTTCAAATCTTTTCAATACAAAAATCCCACCTATGCTTCCATTTTTTCATCAAACATCGTGCAGAGAAGAACAAAAAATAAGCTAAATAAGCCAGGAGTCTCCCTATTTTGAGGCCACCTGCTGTTCTCAGAGGGCGCATGTACCTCTACTTACTTCCCATATGTCTGCCTTTTCCAGAATGTCCTATTGGGAAATATAAAGGGAAGGAGGCTTGGCGTGAGGAAGACCAGCGTGGAGTCAGGCAGAGCAGGATCCTGCCAGCTCATTACCAACCAGGTAAATGAACACCATCTTCTGGTGGGGTTTGGTCCTGGGCTTAGTGATACACGTTTAAGGGAGAAAGGCAGAAACGTAACTGAACCTCAGCTCTAATGTAAGAACGGGGCAAAACACAGATGCAAATATTTTGTGCTCCATTAAATCTATTAGGAAATTTGTAAATTACTACATCCTGGGGGAATGTGAAATATGACACAAATTCCAAAGAGCAAGTATCTATGTGCATCTTACACTTGTTGTTAAATATGAATTTAATGAACAGAACATTTGTATCTGACTGTGTGAATAATAATGGGAAATGGCCTGATGGTTCAGAAGCCACTTCCAGCAACAGTAGCATACTTGACACTTGTGCAACAACTTGACATTCATGATTTCTGTTCACACCTTGGCTGGATATGTCTAGAAACCCTGAGGTGAGGAGGATTTCGGCTGTGAACAGACCCTGTGCAGCACCAAGTCCTGGACAACAAACCACGTGCAAATATACAAATGACACATAACATGAAGTTGGTAGAAACGCTAGCTGTGTACACGAGTGGACTGTTTTTGAGACTGACTCTTGTGGGAGTCTCTCTCACAAGTCTTATTCCAAAGTCATTTCAGTAGATGGCAGGTGACAGGCGTGGAAGCCTCTGGGGCACAGTTGGCTGTGAGGAAATGTTGTCACAAGCTCTCTGTAGACTCCATGTTATTGTCCCCTGCTAGCTGGTGGCTGCTGGTTATGAAGCGATGAGGGCCCTAGGCTTTCTTTTCTGCTGGGGTCCCAGGTTCCGACTTCTTGGCCATTGCGGAGTTTGTCTGAACTCTACTTTTCCCAATTGGCTTCTTTGCTTGCTGGCTGTTGTTTTGAAGGGATTTCAGCCCCAGCATCTTACAATACTTGTTACACTGGTGTAGTGCTTTAAACTGATCAATGAAGCTTATGGAACAGTTGCCCTTAAATCCTTTGTACCTGTAGGTTTGGGTGAAAGGAAATAATTTTTTTTAAATGACACTTTGCCAGCTTAAAAAGAAACATTTGGAAGGAGAAAGTGATGATGCATGGGAAATGTATTTATCACCATTCTAGACAAGAATCCCACGTGGTTGACACCATTAGAGGAAAAAAACAAAGATGATGGAATTCATAAAGACAAAGATCCACTGGCATGCACGGTAGAGGTCAAAGGCTGATGATGACAGTAGCATTCCACTGCCATGGCTGCAACCTTCCAGCATATTCTCGTCCTTTTCTTCTTAGTCCTGGACTTTGATAAAGATTAGATTTTTTTTATGACCTAAAAGCTACTCCCATCCCACCCAAAGGTTCTGAATAAAGAATTTTAGAACTCTGGAATTGTAAGAAATTAATTAGTATAGACTCTTTAACTTAGTGTTGAAGGACTTCAGACTTAGAGGTGGCACCAGCCCAAGGAGCAAAGCCAGGTGATACAAGAGACAGAATGAAAACGCAATACTCTGAGTCCTCCTCATGCCACATAGCTCCCTCCTGTGACAGCCCATTTTATTCCCAGGAGATGAACCTCAGCCTTCGTCTCCAGCTGGTTCTAGGAAGGACCGTCTACCCTTGCCTGGAGTACTCTCAGTCTCAGGCTGTTACACTGGGTTGGAGCATTTAGTACTGAAGTAGTGAGTGACTGTGTTTTCCCATCCCAGTCATGGCATGGTAGTATGCTCCTGGAATAACATGTGCCCAGGCACCCACGTCTCCCTTTTTAAACCTCAGATGAACAAGAACCGTCAAGAAAGTTGGTGAAAGGCTCAGACCTCCTGGGCTCTGGGCTGAAATTCTAAGGGTAGCCAACTGTTGCTGCTTGTTTTGTGTCTGGGAAAGTGATCCTGCAGGTCTTTCTGCCAGCTGCAGAAAATCCCCAAATTCCACGTGCACTGACTCCACTCACACCTCCTTAGAGATGAGAACGGTTGGCCAAGGAGAATGAATATGGCACCAATTCTCTCCCCCATGAGTGGCATCTCCTTGAGATGTCCCAATGGTCCTCCTTCTCACCACAGATGAGCTCATTTGATTGCCAAAGGAATTCATCTTCCACTTGAATCCCCTGTGAGTAAAAGCTTGGGAGTAGTACCTACATACACCTGCATGGTCCATCTTGCATCCACTGGACCATGCTCCATCAATGCGTTCTGCACGTTGCCACCAGAGTGACCTCTACAAAGCCAAGTTATGTCATTCATGCTTAAAATTCCACTGTTGAAGCCAGGTACGGTGGTTCACAACTGTAATCCCAGCTGCACAGGAAAGCAGCTATGTGGGAAGTTTACGTAGAATGATCCTGGTCCAGGCCAGCCCAATGTGAGACCCTACCTGAAAACAGCTAAAGTGAAAAAGGACTGGGGGCATGGCTCAACTGCTAGAGCTCCTGCCTAACAAGCTTGAAGCTCTTGAGTTCAAACCCAATACCTTCCCTCACCCCCCGCCAAAAAAAAAAATTCCATTACTGTTCAAATAAAGACAAAATTCCTTGCCCTGCCTACAATCCTGCCAGCTGGCTGCATCTCACAATCCTTGACCTCCTTTCAGGTCTCATAGAAGAGGCTATGCTCATGCCTTCTAAGAGCCTGTCCAGAGTGTTCCCCTGCGTGGGATGACCTGCCTCCCTTCTCTCTCTCAGTCCTACTTTCCTTCTATCTACATATCCTTCTACTCCCCTCAGGGAGCCTTTCTTGACCTCCCCCAGCCAAGTCACATCCCCAATTAAAGGAAAGCACCTTTCCTTCGCAGCATGTGCACAAGTGCCCTGCGGCATTGTGAGTGGAAGAGTTGGGAATGCCTGTCCCTTGTCACACTGCAAACTCTATGAGGACAGAGCAGAGGTCAGCATGCTCTTTTGCCAGTGCTCCCTGACACCTCATCTGGTGGAACTCAATACATAGAGGATGGTAGAAAACAAGCCTGATGGTACTTTTAATTTGTGGTTGTTCACTGTTTTTCCAATGTTCGCTTCATGTGTTGACCTGGGTCAATGCTGAGTTCTGGAGGAGGAACTCAGGTGCTTCTCTATTCAGCACCTAGTCAAGTACTGTGCTAGAGGCAACAGGTACAGCAGAGACCAAGCAAGACACAGAACCCATAGGCTTGTTATGTAGGCAAGAAGATGAATGTCGAATCACCCCAATGACATGTGATACTGGTAAAGTATTCATGGTTTGCTTGGTACCTTAGACACTGAGCCTCTTCAGGCTTCTTCCAGTTTTCTCATCTTCAAAGTGGGAAGAATGGTAATGCCTACCCCAAAGTGTTGTTGAGAGGATAGATGAGGAAATACACATAACCATCTAGCTTAATACACAACACGTAGTACATCCAATTGGTGATGGCCATGTTAATACTATAATTATCAATATTATAATTGGTGCAACTGAGTGAGTCCTCTCATGGAAGTAATGCTGAATCTCAGATTGAAGGATGAGAAATTTTCCAAGTAAAGGAGAGGGACAAAGGAGTACCTAGCATACAGGGATGCTGACATAATTTTCAGGGCCAAGTGCAAAATGAAAAGATGGCTCCTTTTTAAAAAAATTATTAAGAATTTCATGACAAAAGCAGCCAAACAGTAAACTAAACACAGGGCCTTTCTGAATGCAGGGTTCCACACTGCTACATGAACTGTATACCCATGAGACTTAGCCCTGCTGGTGGGAAAATTCAGGCCATTTCTAACAGGACCAAACACAAATTGGCAACAAGAAGTTTGTGATTCTGGCACAATGAAGTGTTATAGGTAATATGATTCAAGAAATCAGGTCTCTTTCATTTGCTGAAAGAAACCATAAATGTCCGCATGCATGGAATGGGAAGTGGGGCTGTGCTGCTTTGGATTCATGCCAGGTTTTAAGCTCTCAGGGCTTGAAAGCTTTCTTTCCTTCTGTAGCAACAGCCTGGGCCTGCAGCTTATCCTGACATGCGATATGTGAACTGCAAATCCAGCCCTGCTTCTTCTTCCTCCCTGCTAAGTTGCTGTTCTGCCCCCAGGAGCCCACAGTCTGTTTCATTGTGAAAAGTGACTCAATTTTTAAAAGCCAGGCTTGTTTGTCAGAGAAAAAGTCAACCAAAGACAGGAATTGAATCTAGCAGGGTAGGGAAAATTCCACTGCTAAGCGTGTCATTTTTATATCTCTATCTTCCTATGCAGGAGACTCCAGAAAAGGTCAGAATGCCAGCCTGCCTGCATTTCCTTCGTGCCTGCCCACTCCCTGGGAGACACACAGCCCGCTGCACCTGTGTGTGCAGACACAGTAGAAGGCTCATCCTACCTGCTGCAGGTGGGGATGCGGAACTCTGCTAGAAGCAACTCCTCTGCATCTCAGACAACGTGGGAATGTCAGGAACAGGGCAGCTACCCAGTCTAAGATCTGGGAAACAAGTTCTGGACATTTGTGCCAGGAGTGCCTTGAGGAGTTTAAACTTTTTGACATCTCACTTCTGTAGAGAAAAATAACTAATTCACACTATGACCTCCCAGAAAGGCCACTACTCCCTCCTGAAGCACTGCTTTGCAGCTGTGTTAATGCTGGGTAACAAGTTAGTTCTTACCTAACGGTCCCCACCTCTGGAATGGAAAAAGCAGAGTTTGCTTACAGGAGCATGACTTCTGGGCCCCTGGGAACTCAGACCTCTTTTAGGAATCCAGCTCCTTCTTTTCTTCCACTTATCCTACCTCCTTTATCCTTGAAGAAAGTCAGAGGCAGGCCAGAGAGACTTGAGCTGGATTGACTGTAGATGTTTGCGCATGGGCAGACCTAAGGCCTAAGGTGATGGTGTCCTCTCATGGTCTAGAAGGGTCTTTTCCTGCCCCCAGCCCTGCATCTCCTTGAGGACGAGATCCATTTCTTGGAATCAGAGAGGAATGCACATCTCTCTAGAGGCTGTGACTGCTCCCACGACACTTCTTTGTGCCAGTGATTCCTGTCCAGGGGAGCTCTTACATAAATGCTCAAGGAACAAATAAATGGATAACCAACCTCATCCTCCGGGCTCCCTAATCCTGGCTCAAAGGGCCTCCGTATCACAATTCTGAACTTCCCTTTCTCTCTGTATTTTTCTATTTTCTTTTGCTGTAACAAAACATCTGAGGTGAAGAACTTCATAAAGAAGAGAGTTATTTGGCTCATGATACTGGTGGTTAGATCCCAACATGGCATCAACATGCTGGTGAGGGCCCCTGGTTGCCTCCCTAGAGGAAAAGTAGGAAAAGAAACAGTTGGGTTTAGAAGAGGTCAAGTGTGTGAGTGGCCTTGCCTTACAACAACCTGCTCTTGTGAGAACTAACTACATGAGGCCCTTCTGAGGCCATGACCCATGACCTAATTACCTCCCACCAGGCCCTACCTGTTAGAGATTCCATGTCTTGAATACCACCACACTGAGGAGCAAGCTTCCATTCCAGCACATGAACCTTTGGGGATGGACACACTCAAACCATATCCAAACCAGAGCATTCTTCCTCTTCTGTTGGATTCTCACTATTTTCAAGATCAAAAGTCCCTCATCAGCTTTCTCAGATGCTGACTTTTTTTCCCTACACAGCATCTTACAGAAATAAGATTCTTTCTCCTTTCTTAATTTGGTCTCTGTCTCAGCCAGGATGTTGGACTTCAGCTTTGACCTATTATTCTCTCAAACTGGCAGCATTACCATTGCCTTTGCCCAGAAATTAAAAACAGGACAACATTCTTATGTTTCTAGACCGATTAACCCCAGATTTATTAAAACGACATGAGTCCAATTTTACCAAACTCTCATTTGTCCAAGCAATGGGAAACAGTCCTTCTGCTTGTGACCTACTTGGAGGGCCACACACATACCATCTGCTGCCCTCAGGATTGGAGGTGACCACATATCTAGCCTTTCATGACATCTGTATGACACGAGCACCATTGCAGAAACTCACCTTGATTTTTCCTATTGGAAAGACATACAGGGTTGAATCT